TGATTTAGTAGGTCCTAGTGACTACGCCGTATAATTATTTTCATTGTTTACATCATAGCCACTACATCATAGTAACTTGAACACAATTATAATCGACCAAAGTTATCAAGTTACATTTTTGTGTATCCTCACTTTTTAAGAAGTGATATTAGTGAAATTACTTCAATGAAATCCTATACCTAAAAGCACTACACTGGAGAGAGAGAAATTTTCCCGCCTAAGCATTCTCCACCTAAAATCCTAAAATGTAATATCAATTTCCGCAAAAAATCATATATATATGTGTGTGTGTGTGTGTGTGTGTGTAGAATTAGGTTCAAGTGAGAAAATGATCTTAGGAGAGAAATAAGAATGAATCTGGACCGTTAGATTGTATTCTGTGAAATTGAATGTGCATTAAGTGAAACTGAAATGTGCATTAGGTGAAATCGAAATGTGCATCACAAAATGTAAGGCATAGTGGTATTATGTGAAGCTGAACTGTGCATTACGAAAAACTAAAATGTGCACTACGTGAAACTGAAACGTGCAAAATAAAAATTAGGATGCAGTGGCATTTTTGTGCCTTTTATTACGCACATTTCAATTTAATGTAATGCACATTTGAGTTTTATTTTTCATTCTGCACAATTCAATTTCACGTAATGCACATTTCAGTTTTGCCAAATGCACAATTCAATTTCACATAATACAATCCAACGGTCCAGATTCATTCTCATTTCTCTCCTGGGAGTCCTTTCTCACCGGAACCACTCCCTATATATATATATGTGTGTGTGTGTGTGTGTGTGTGTGTGTGTATTATATACCAAAAAGCACCACACTGGAGTGAGGAAATTCACCCGCCTAAGCATTCTCCGCCTAAATTCCTAAAATGTAATTACACTTTCCACAAAAAAAAATCATCATCCTATAATCCTATAATCCTAAAATGTAATTTCATCCTATACCTAAAAGCACTACACTGGAGAAAGAAGATTTTTCCGCCTATGCATTCTCCGCCTAAAATTCTAAAATGTAATTTCACTTTCCACAAAAAAAACATAACCTAAACACACTACACTGGAGAGAAAATTCTCCCGCCTAAGCATTCTCCGCATAAAATCCTAATATGTAATTTCACTTTCTGCAAAAAAAAATATCCTATACATAAAAGCACTATACTGGAGGGAAAAAAATTCTCCCGCCTAAGCATTCTCCGCCTAAAATCCTAAAATGCAATTACACTTTCCACAAAAAAATCATCATCCTATAATCCTAAAATTCTAAAATGTAATTTCATCTTATACCTAAAAGCACTATACTAGAGATGTTTTACATTTAGTTCTTACCATTTATTCAGAATTTATTTAATGTTTTCAAATAATTCTAACACAATCATATTTTTTAAATATTTTTAAATATATAACTATATCTAAATTATTACGTAGGTGTCTCACTCGCGTGCAGTGCACGAGTGGAGTAACTAGTATGCTTAACTGGAAAAACAAAAAGAAATGCGCTTAATTGATCACCCCACCCAATAGCCTGAGACAAATTAAGGTTAAAATACCAAGTCGGGACCAAAATCATCAAGTGAGGGGCAAATTAAGGTTAAGTTATCAAGAATTCAAGATGATGTTTTAAATTTCTTTTCACTTTTTTAATATCCAAAAACCACTTATTTTACCAAAGATTAGCAATTTTTACTTTTTCAGAAACATATTTTTCTCAAAACACTATCAACTTTTACTATTAAGTACTTTCTCCGTAAGGACTTTAAAAATCATTTTATTTAGAGTATAAGCAATCGCAAACATTCCATCAAGTTGTTTGTATCAATTTGTTTGGTACTACGATTATAATAACAATTGCGCCTTTTTCTCTCAGTTTGAACGTGGTAGAATTTGCATTTGAAAGTAGTAATGAGTAATTTTTAGGTAAGTATGATTTCCTATATATCGTTAAAGTTTATAATAAAAAAAAAATTAAAAAATTCTACGGAATGTTAAATTGATTGCAACATTTTAAAAACAGTATTTTGATTGAATCTTTGATCAAATATAATACTACGTACTTTTTACCAAGTATAACGCAATAAACAATAAACAACAAACTTCCTAAAGCACACCGAAATTACTTTAGATTTATTTTTTTAAAAGTGAGTATTATTTCGATGAACTTATAATTATGTTTTTTTTATGCGGATATATCAGAGATAACACTCCAGTGATTAATTATGAGAAATTTACCGTGATATTATTACAACTAGCTGGAATAGCTCAGTTGGTTAGAGCGTGTGGCTGTTAACCACAAGGTCGGAGGTTCAAGCCCTCCTTCTAGCGTTTTTTTATATAAACATTCCGTTTATTTATTTATTTCTCTTTCGAAATAAAAGGGCAATTTTTTTAGAATTCAGTTTGGTCTCTTTGTTTTTTATTCTGTATCCAGAATAGTTCTTAATGAAAAACTGTGGCTCCGAGCATTTCTCAATCCAAAATGCATCACCCAATTAATAATAGGTGATTTTTAATTTAAAAACTTGACAAGAGTTTTGGGACAAATATCTTGGAGTACAAAGCCAAATCAGTCATTACCCAAATCAGTCATATGTTTGCTTTCCACCTCAATGATGAAAGGTTCTTCCATGGGAGATCCTTGACCCATAACCAAATTCCCACTTACTGATTCATTATCAACCATTTACCAGTCCAGACCTTCCAGATCAGACCATAAAATACTAATCCAAGTAAAAGCATCATAAGAAGATGTCTTAACGTGAACAATGAGACGTTTCACATTTACATTTTTTATGCACTTTATCGTTAATTTGATGACTTAATACGATGACAGAAAAGTTCTAGTTAATTACAGACTTTTCACCATGTCTTGCATCACTTTTTAATATTTTTAGCAACTTTGGCATCATTAAATCTCAAATTCAACGCATCACATGCATTCTCATTTCCTAAAATAATCACTCTTATCATTTGATTCTTACACACACATATGGGAAGGTTCAAATAAACAGAAACCTTACCTTTCAAAGTGTGAATGAATGCACTTTTTGCTCAATGTGATACAATATTACATGTTTATATTGCACTTTTTCACAGTGAAAAAAAAAAGAGTTTAGTTATGAAATTTTCACCACATTTTTTAAATCAATTTTAGTGCATAGTCGGCTTATTATGAGTCATTAGATCCGGAATTGAATGCACAAGATTTATCCAACCTTGCATAGAAAGATCTATTTTTATTTGAACATTCCCTTGTATCCAACAATTTTTTTAGTGTGTATATATATATATATATATGAAAAATAATTTTCTCCCTCCCAAAAAATATTTTGAACCCCCCAAAAAAAATATTTTCGCCCCCAAGATGACTTTCCAAAATAATTTTCTCCCTCCCAAAAAATATTTTGACCCCCCCCAAAAAAAAATATTTTCGCCCCCAAGATGACTTTCCTGGGTCAGCCCCTACTTGTATGTGTATATGTATGTATGTGTGTGTGTGATATATATATATATATATATATATATATATATATATATATATATATATATGTGTGTGTGTGTGTGTGTGTGTGTGTGTGTGTGTGTGAGTGTGTGGGGGGGGGGAGGTGCGGCTCCAATGAGAACGATGCTTAAATTAAGCCTATATAAATAAACACGATGACATTTTGGTAAATATTGTGAAAACGCAGAAAAGTGCAATATACAAGCTTCATTGTGCAACACGTTGGAGTAGATGTGGTGTTCTCACGTTAAACATTATTCTTTATTCTATGTATACACACACACACACACACACACACACACACATATATATATATATATATATATATATACACATATAATATATATATATCTATGTATATATACATACATATGTATATGCGTCATTATATGAGAACAATGCTTAATGTGAGAACGTGAGAACACCATATTTACCCCAACATGTTGCACAATGAAATTTGTATATCGCACATTTTCATATTTTCACAATATTTATCAAAATGCCACCGTGTTATTTAATATAGGCATAATTCGAGCAAATTGAAAATGTGCAATAGAATACCTTCATTGTGCACCACGTTGATTTAAATGTGACCGTTTTCACGTTCTCACGTTAAATATCGTTCTCACTAGAATCGCACTATATATATATGTATATATATGGGTGCGGATAAAATAAAAATCATTCTTCCCACGACAACTGCAAAACGTTCACTTGTTCCACAATGTGATATACTATTATGTTCCTATGTTGCTCTTTTTCACGTTGAGACATTTTTGACTTACTTACTAAAATGTCACTGTCGTTTTTATTTGACATGACTCGACCAAAGTTCAAAAAGTGCAACAGACAACCCTTAAAATGCATCATATTGGAGGAAAAAAATGAAAGGTTTGTAAATTTCACATTAAGGACCATTTTTATTTGATCCGACACGCACGCGTGTGTGTATGTGTGTTTGTAGCAACTTTCTATATACTACCTTTTAAAGCATGACCATTCCCATTTAATTCACACTTCATCTCAACTTGTAATGGTAGTATCACACTACTTCATATGTCCATTTTGCTTTCCTTTTTAAAGCAATGTTTTTGTGCCTCTTTTCATTGCTTTCTCATCTGCACAAATCTCAATCACACAAATTTTATTATTCTACTTTCCCACCTAACATCATCTTGACAAAGTTGAGTAAGGGGGTGTTTGGAACTGATTCTAATTCTGCTTCTTTTTTAAAGTAGAAGCAGAATCAGAATCAGTTTTCAGAAGCTGGTACCCCCCAGCTTCTAATAAAACTGATTCTGAGAGTAAATTAGAGCACCAGAAGTGCTTCTGGATATTCACCCAAACACTCCAGCTTCTGCTTCTGTTCTCTGAAGGAGCAGAATCGGTTTTGAGAATCAGATCCAAACACCCCTGAGATGGAGGTAATATTTTATTAGTAGTAATTAGTTGTGTATTTGTTTAATCTACATCCGCTCGTTAGTTAATTCCTTGATCAGGCGGCAAGGACACACCTGTGTAGACTTCCTCAGCTTAGCGAACTAGGCCCGTCAGCCGACCGTCAGCCCACCGCAGCCGACCGTCAGCCCACCGCAGCCGACCGTCAACCCACCGCAGTCGACCGTCAGCCGACCCACGCCGTTCCGGAGCTGTGCTGCGACGGATGTCAGCCGTTCCACGCCGCGCCACCTACCTGCGACGACATCCTGCCACGAGCGGCTGCGACGGCCGAATTTCGACGACCAGAGAGTTCACGTCCTAGTCGCAGCTCTGCCGCCTCTGGGGACTCTCAGGTACGCTGCCTTTGCCCTTGCAGCCTTGCCTCTTATTTTTTTACATGTTACAGCCTTTAAAAAGAGTTTATACAAAATTTTAAATATTTAAAATCTAAAACTGCAAAAAGTGTACCTTGTTAGTGATTGCTGATGTCTAAATGGCGTGATGTGCGAAATTTGTGAATGAATACTCCCTGAATGACTGAATCCCTTATGTTCGATTATACTCGGTATATTTTATTATCTACTCATCTTTAACAAATTAATTAAATTTTGTTGTGTGAAATGGATAATTTGTGAATGTGTTTTAACTACTTTGCATCAATACTTGTTATGTTATTAAACATTCGTTTGTGCTAGACGGCTAGTGTTTTTTATAGTGAGACTGCTAGTGTTAAAAACTGATGTTTGATTAAAATTTATAATTTTTTTAAAATTTTTAAACTTAATATATTTCAATGTGTATTAAATTGGTTGATGGGAGAAAGAGATAAATTTTGAATCTTCAAAAGCTTTCGACTCTTGAAAAAAGTGTCCAAGATTTTGCTAATGTTCACAAATGGATTGATATGAAGATGAAATTAGCAAAGGAAAAAAACAATTGATTTTGCCATTCCAGAAACACTTGCAAAAGAGAAGAAACATTGGAAAGATGTTCTTAAGAGAATAATTTCTTGAGTTAAGAATCCTGCTAAAAATTCAATTGCTTTTCGAGGAAGTAATGAAAAATTACATGAAGACAAGTAGACAACAATGAGAATTTTTCAGCTATTAAAGAATAGGCCCTTAATAGATTGTTTCCTTTAGTATTTCCCTCATCTTCTTGGGATGACCACCTCCTTCAATGGCCGACCCCTTATTCGTCATGACCTCGCCTCCTGACTGGTTGTTTTGCTGAAACTTTAATAATCTAATAATTTGTTAGATACATATGTCGCATTCAGATGTTTGCTTCCACAACAAAACAACATCCAAGCCTTAATCCCAAAAGATTTTGGGGTCTGTTAACATGAATCGATCCATGATATCGATGCCATAAAGAGAAGACAAAAAAAGCGAATACGATAAAGATAAATAAATATAAGATAACAATAACATAAGAATATAAGAAAAATAAAAGATAAAAAGATAAAAGAGCATAAAAAACTAGAAGATAAAAATACCATAAGAACATAAAAAGACAATGAAGATAAATGATAAAAGAGAAGAGAGGAAAGACAGAAAAGAGATCAATCGTCTACCTGAATGTGCGCCCTTCACTTTGCTCTCTCCAAAGCCATACTCTCATCCAACCCAAGAAGACGCATATCAGTTCTGATTCCTCTAACCCAAGTCTGTTTGGGTCTTCCCCTCCCTCTCCTCTCTGTCTCTTCTTCCCGTCCCTCAAGTCGTCTAACATGTGCATCACTTGATCTTCTATGCACATGCCCAAACCACCGCAAACGAGACTCCTGAATTTATCTTCCATAGGTGCTACTCCCACTTTTTGTCTAATTATCTCATTTAGATGTATTTTCAAGTTGATCCTTTGAATTTGCTTCCACTTTTTTTATGCTTCAATGCAATTATGAGAAATAGGTTTTCAAAAAATCATTAATCTGATTGTTTTCTGATTGTATCTAAATACCTAATTTAACTCAGTAATAATTAAATTGTTAATTGATCTGGAAAACTGCTAATGATGGGAATAGATTTAGTGATAACTGATAACTCGATTGAAGCTAAAATTAGATGTAGAGTGTCTCATACAATGAACAAGACACATTTTCTTTGCTGAGTTTTGTATTTTTTTTAAGAACAATATAGCCCAATGACACTTTATATTGATATAATCATCCAAAGAGAACCGATAAATGAATAAACACTAGAAGACATCTTCTTAATAGTTAATGTGAAAGTTTAGAAGAGAACAAGGCAACAAGCTGGTCATCTCCCTATATATCTCATCATCTCTCCAATAATACTAGTATATCTCTACGAATGATGATTAGAGATTGAATAAATAATTAAATGAATGAATAAACATATAATTAACCAACCCCAGAATAATGTTAACAGTATGCAGTACGGCAGTCAGGCTGCTTTTGGACTCAAAGACAGTGTGATGTCTTGGAAAACCTTAAGCCTCGTGTCAATATTTCTTGGACAGCAAGATTCCATCTTTGATGACGTTGTCCCGTCCAAAACCGCCACAATGATTGCATTCTCAAAGTATTTGCTGAATTTTGTAATATCTATATGATTGTTAGTTTTTCAAGGTTGGAGCCATATGATGTAGAAACATGGCTGTGTACATTTATGGACTGGTGCTCCATATTTAATTTTTGCTGATTCTATTAACTAGTTTCAAAGAAAAAAAGTAACAATTGCAGTCCTACCAAAACCAAAAGAATCTATGAATTGCTCTAAAAGGATATTTGAATCAGACTGAAAAGATCAATTAATGAGCTAAAGAATCTCAACTAACCCTACTACTTTTCTCCTCCACTCTTTTAGAATCAGTGTTAGCATGCATGGTGCATCATTACACATTACATATTTCATGGTGAATGACTGTATGCACATATCTTTCTTTTCCATTGAATGCAGTTTAGCTGCTGTATGTTTTGAAATTTCTTTTTCTTGTTGTCAATTACTCTGCCCCCCTGTTCGGTTTATTTTAGTTTCAAAGTCTGAACTGGAACACATTATTTAGTTCCTTTTTCTCCAAACTTCATAAACTGAAACTGAATTGAGAATGTAAAAAAACCGATTTGTGTTGATCATTATACTAGTTAAGCTTATTCATAATACATAACTGCGTTTAACTATTTGAGCTACTTTTGATGTCATGCTCATTCTTGCACAAATTATATTGAGTTTTGGAGCTGCAAAGTGGATAGTTAGAGCCTCTTATGTGCCTTTTGAAGGGTAGCTGATCCTTCACTTTGAAGCAAGATTGAAATTTTTATCTTATTGGGCCATTTACTCATTATCTTCTATATTAATTTGTCTATTTTGTTTCCATGATTGTATCTGCAAGTAGAACCAACTGCATTCCTTCAAGCTTCCTTTTGGATCCTTATCCTTTTTTTTAATTTCGTCAGTTAACTATTTGTTCTTTCTCAAAGTTTGGATCTATTTTCTTTTTATCTCAGGCTTGTATTTCTAAACTTTTCAAATGCCCTTGAATATTCTCCCCATTAGTTTTTGTTGGTCTTAACTATGTGAATAATTTCCCTGCAGATTCTTTTTGCTTGACTCACTTCTCCTTCATCAATTCAAGTACAAAAGTTTCAAGTTTTACTGCATAATAGGGGTGTCATCACCATTGCCCAAGATAGGATCTTGCTAAACGTATGCAGCTTAGCAATACCATAATTTGTACAATATGACTTATATTTTGTAGTTAATTTTTAGATAGATTGTTATTCTGTGAGAAGGACAAGTAATGTAACATGTAGAATTTTTGTTTTTGAAAATAAACAAAACTGAAGCTCGCTAGCAAATCCTTAAATCCCTATCTAGTTGATTACCACAGTCTATCCAGAAATGGCGTCTATGGTATCAGAAACAGTTCCCAAGTTCACCGCTGATGCCCTCCGCGCAGCAGCAAAGCAGTCTGAAGCCTGCCGGATAGTTCCCCTTAGGCTTCGTCGAGCTATCAAAAAATACATTCGAGGTAAATACCAATCTCTCTGTAAATTTCTTTGTGATATCTGTGTTGAAACATCTTGTTGTTGCAGAACAAGAAGACCCGCATATGAAGAGAAAAGTGTTGAGGTTATCTGAGTCGTTCAGCCACATAAAGGAGGCGAATCTGCTGCTCCCCACTACAACTGCGAAAGAGATCATGCAAGATCCCCTCAATTCCATGGGATGCTCCAAGCGATGGAAAATCCAAAGTGCGTATGGTGATATTGGCCTCAAGTATCAAGAAGATGAGACCTTAGCTTATGTGGCTTCTAGGATGCCTGCTGTTTACTCTGCTCTGTATAGAGTCCTCAGTGAGGTAAATGAGCTCTAACATGACATAGCAAAATATCTAATATTCATGAAATAATTGCTTTTATAAGGAGAATGAATAAGAGATACAAGCTGGATCTGGCTAATGCGGAGCCGTTTTTGTTTATTTGCCATGGGTTTTCAGGTCAGGAGAAGGGTACCTAATTTTTCTCCAGCTAAGGTGTTGGATTTTGGTGCAGGGACTGGTTCTGCTTTCTGGTGAGAAGACCATTAGCATTGTGTTTACAGTTGACTGTTGAAGTGTTGAGTGTTGATATTATTTCTATTTTTAGAAGTAATTGGCATGGAAATAGAATGGTTACTATTGCAGGGCAACAAGAGAGGTGTGGCCCAAGTCGTTGCAGAAGGTAAATTTAGTTGAGCCATCACAGTCTATGCAACGTGCAGGGCAAGGTCTTACAAGAGGTAATGTCTGTGCAATGCTCCCCCCTGAATAAGACAGTTTACCTTAGGACTGATAGTGATAGTTATGCTCAAATTCAGTTAAAAGCTCACATAGATTCAAAAAAAAATGAACTAATAATGTACTATCATGCCCTTGATGATGATAACCTTTACAAATGCTGTACAATAGCAAACCAGTTTGGCAACTCTGTAGTTGCATCTAGGCTCTACCTAGTAAGTGGTAGACTGAGACCTAGAATCTAAACGGGTCTTGGGGGTTAATTCAAAAACAATGTTAGCAGTCACGGGAAGCGTACCACTTAAGGAGGCACTAGGTTGGAAATTTAGATGTTTGTTGATCATTTTTTTGGCTTTTAATATCTTCGTATAAGCAGTTGAGCACAAGTAGTGTGTTGAGTAGATGCATATGTTAGTTTTCCAGTTGGAAATGAAGTGATTTTTACTACGGAGTATCATGTTGATAGGTACCTCAACAAACACAGCAGAGTTTTTGTAGTATATTGATGAACGATCTCAGAACTACAGTGAGGGAAATAGAAAGAAAGAGAACAGATACTATTGAGACACTTCGAGTAGTCTCACACTCCCAAGCCTAATTCCAAATCCAATTTCTGCCTCCCTCCTTTCCTCCCTCCCATTCTTATAATAAAACAAAAGGGCCGGCCCAACTCAAGATTTACCTGGCCCAAAACCCTTGTTTACACAATCACAATTATTTACTATAATTCTATTATTATCATTATTATTATAATATTATCTGCCCATGTTCACATCATATCTCCCACCTTGGACAACCACCTTGTCCTCAAGGTGGGTGATAGGAAACAGCCCTGACCATCATCTTCATTCTTGCGCCTCTTCCTTCCCAGTACCTCCCTGATTGCTGTACCATGAGCTTCAGTAGCTTCACTCTTAGTCCCCTAGATTGAAAGCCCTTGTCCTCCCTCAGTTTTCCATGTCTCACATCTTTCAACCTATCCCTTGAAGGATGCTCCTCACCGAAAAACTCATACAGAACTTCATCCGCACGCATATCAAAAGAAGGTTCAAGTGGGTTGAGTCTTTGTGATGTGTTTCTCTATCTACAGCAGTTGCCTGTTTTGATATTGCTCCAAACAGTCTTTCCATAAACAACAAACCATCATCCCTAGTAATGAGTGTGTCCATGTCTTTGATGAGTTGCAGGAACTTGTGATTATGAAAACTCAAAGTTTTGGCATCCTTCAACCCTGTGTAGACCTGCTGCTCTGTCATCTGCAGAAGAGTAATAACACAGTATGCCAACTTCCCCCAGTTATGCAATTTTAACTTTACAAATCTCTTGCTATCCAAAATTGTCAGCCTAAGCTCAAATAGACTTTCTGAAAGCATTTTCTGTTTGCGGCTATGAAAAAGAGAACCAGAGTGCAAAAAGTCCCTTGATGAATGATTACTCATCAGAGTCGGAGTGAAATCGTTATAAGATCTTCCAGCATGTGTGTTAAGAATCATCAAGTACTCAGAGTTTGTATTCCCTTTTCTCCTCCAACCTTCCCTTGAGATTTCAGCCACGTCCAATGCAACATGTCGATCAACAAAAGGAATAATGCTGGTCTTTCTCTGTATTGTCTTGGAGACATTGATTCATTTTTGTTTGTAACGATCCAGCTGCCAAAATCCCTTGCATCCTTTTGTGTTGCAAAATTCAATAACACTGGAGCAGTAGAGTCTTTGACAAATATCTAAATTGTTGTGTATCCGGGCAGAAATCTGGTCCCCTGGACATCCTTTACATTGGCTATGATTCATCTTCCATGCCGGCATGCCGCTTGATATTGCTGGGGGTCTTTTTGGGTGTATTTCCACCTTTCTGTTCAGCCCTACGTAGCTCAACCACACCTGAAGAGTCAAAGATTTTAGATACAACTGATCTAGCAGTACATTTTCACTAAAATTCACCAGAGAAGTACAAGTATTTCTTCATGACAGTAAGATGCCCTGCTAACTCCCTCTTTGGTGCAATCAGAACACAGCAGACCGTCGAGAGAACCTCGCTATTTTCAGCTTCTGCTGATTCAGAGGAGCAATCATTTCAGGTCGGAACAACCGAACAATGTTTGTCTGTTCACCAGTCTCTTTGACAACCTCTGAGGGCAGTTTATCAGTCGGAATATTAGGACTGGAAACCCGCTGAATACATTCAGCATCACTTTCACTTAATTCAAGAGAGTCTTCATCTGTAATTTTTATTCCATCAATCCCCTCCATTGTAAGAACCTCTTTACAAGTAAGATTCCAATACATTTTGGGGTCAACCAGCTGCAATTTAATGTTTCTCACTTTCTCCTCTGTGATAAAAAAGTAGGTGTACAGATACAGAGAGTTTCTTATAGTAGTGAAAGGCATCCTCCTTGTTCACTTGCATCCATTTCTCCAAGGGCTCCATACACGCAATAGCAACTACTAAGTTGAACTGCGAAGGTATAGCAGTTATTTCTGAAGCTTCAGGAACTGTAGCTAGCAGATCAATCTCTTCACCCCCAGGGCCGGCTAGAGCAATTATGAGGCCCTAGACGGTCATGTAGAAATTTTGTTTTAAATATGTTTTATTTAATCCAATGATATAAAAAATAGCAATTAAATATAAGTAAATTACATATAAAATACATCATATACTATTAACACAGTGAGAATATTCTTCGAAATCAGAAGATCAAAGTTGATGAAAAAATACAAAGAGCCCTAGAGGGAGAAGGTTTTGTGCTTACATACAACATACCGATCGATAGAGCCGGAAAGTGATTTCATGACCAAATCATTTCTTAATTTTTTTCTTTGTCTTTGTACATCTTGATTCATATTTTGTTTTCCAATCATCACAAAACATAAAATTTCATTCAAAATAATACTATCACTAAATATAAGTTAATGGTTCATAGATTAAAATTTAATTCACAAAATTTAATCAAATATAAAAAATTATAAGTATGTTCAATATTTCGATGAATCAAAATAACAAATTACAATTTCAATTATTCAATCAGCATTCAAATATATTTAGAATACTCATTATCCTAAATCCCTAGCCCTACTGCCCTAGCCAACAAAGAAAAAAAAGGAAAAAGGAGCAAATAAGCCCACATACTAACCAAAAAGGTCAAATAAGCCCTCAGAGACTTTGTCCCGCCGTCGCCATTTGGGGCAGTTCCCGGTGGAATTTTTTGATGAAATTTTTTGAGAATCTTATTCATTAAGTCTTGTTTACTTATACCAAATTTCAGCTAACAATTCAACATGGAAGGCATTCAAATAAATTCTTGAAGATAACTGCGCTTTTAACTGCGCAGTTATCTTCAAGAATTCATTTGAATGTCTTCCCGATTGAATTTTTAGGTGAAATTTGGTATGAGTAAACTAGACATAATGAATAAGATTCTCAAAAAAAATCATCAAAAAATTACAAAGGAAACTATCCCAAATGTTGACGGCCGGACAAAGTCTCCTAAATAATATTAATAAGCTTATTTTATAAATTAGAGGCCCCTAAAATTTGGAGGCCCTAGACACTTGTCTAGGGTAACTCCCCCTATGGCCGGCCCTGTTCACCCCTATGACTCACCCAGCTCAGGCCCTGTGCGGCTCCATGGAGCCCAAAATTGCTTCCCTTAGATTTTAGAGTATCTAACAGCCAAGGCGCCAAGTCTGGGAAGTTTTCTTCCCCCATTCCCGTTATAATAGAGCCAATAGCACTGTTGGACATTTCCTTACCCGAAAATTGAATAAGATCATTGTCCATATCAGGTTCCAGAACTGATGGTGCAACACTGCAACATGCGTCAATTCAGTGGTCATTGTAGGCGGCTGAGTTCCCGGTGATCCATTTTCTGATTCAACGTGGTCCATGGCTCTGAAAGTGGATGACTCGTTTAGGAATGATGCGGTTTGCGCCCTGTGCGAAGCTGCTTGCGGAGACCCCTGCGAACTGATATAAACTTTTGGTGACGACTCCTGTGGAGTGAGAATCGGCTCGCTGTGAAGGTGATTGCGATGGCGATGAAACCTTGCTTTCAGGATTCTGGCAATGGCGAACCGCCCTCGATCGTCCTCGCCGATGAAGCTGTTTTTTTAGGCGGTTAAACATGTCGACCATCCTCGTTTCTTCCTCATCAATCATCTCGACCATCCTTGATCGTGTTTCAGCCAACTTCCATTCGAATTTCTCCAATCGCTGCTCCATTGATGCTCTGGCCATGATCAATTTCCGACTTTCTGTCTCCAGGAACGTCTCCAGGAGCGAGTGCTCTGATACCAATGATGTGTACCTCAACAAATGCAACAGAATTTTTGCAGTATATTGATCAACTATCTCAGAACTACAGTGACAAAAATAGAAAGAAAAGAACGGATACTAATATACTATTGAGGCACTTCGAGTAGTCTCGCACTCCCAAGCCTAATTCCAAATCCAATTTCTGCCTCCATTCCTCCTTTCCGCCCTCCCATTCTTATAATACAACATAAGGGCCGGCCCAACTCAAGACTTAACTGGTCTAGGACCCTTATTTACACAATCACAATTATTTACTATAATTCCATTATTATTATCATTATTATTATAATATTTTCTGCTCATGTTCCTATCACATGTGTGTGTTACGTTGGAAGTGGACATACCAGAAAAGACCGCTTGAGGAATGAGATAATCAGACAAAAAGTGGGAATAACATCTATAGAAGATAAGATGCAAGAGTCTCGATTGTTGTGGTTTGGTCATGTGTGTAGAAAACAGAATGATACACCTGTTAGACGAGTTGTGAGCTGGGGAGAAGAGGCTGTAGAATGGGGGGAATCCAAACAGACTTGAATTAGAGGAATCGGATCTTCTGGGGTTGGATAAAAGTATGACTTTGGACAGAGCAAAGTGGAGGGCGCATATATGTGTGGATGATTGATCTCTTTTCTTCCTTTTCTCTCTCTTTCTTCTCTCTATTATTTTCTTTTATTTATTATGTTTTAATGTTATTTTCATCTTATATTTTACTTATGTCCTTCATCTCTTTTATCTTTTATCTATCTTATATTCGTATGTAAATTTTTAACTTATCCATTTATCTTACCTTATCTTGTTACTTTTCTTATCTTTCTTCTCGCTGTGGTTCTGATATCATTGATCTATTCATGTTAGCCGACCCCAAAATCTTTTGGGAATAAGGCACGGATGTTGTTGTTGTTCCTATCACATGTATGGAAACTATATCATCCGTCATGATCTAAATAATAATCATATATACCATGATGGTTTGTATGTGGTGTTTTTTATTATTACCCAACAACCGCTCAAGTTAGAAAGCTCTAGTGCATGCATGCGGTGATTTTGGGTCCTCATTTGTTTACCAGATACTTAAAAAGAATGCCTTATTAATCATTAGATTTACAGCGTCATGCAAAATGTTAGTTTCAGTAATCAGGCCATTTATTAGAGATTTAGAGTTCATATTAGATTTTCTCGAATCTTTTTAGGAGTTTTAAAAGTAGGGGTTTATTTTATGTATGAATCATAGAATTCTTTGTTTAAATGTATAGGCTTGCACACACATATTTGTCATAAACTAACAATTGGGTGGAAAATCAACTAAACAAGTATATTTGTTTACAAGTGAATGAGTTGTTAAATGTGAATAGAGAACTCTTGCCGTTGCTTGGGGAATGTCTGCCGCACATGACACCTAAGAGCTATTTTCCTTAACAAGACACACAATGCCTGCACTGTGTGTGTGTGTCTACATGTTTGCTTAACCCATTTATAAAGGATCTGAGTTTAGTCACTTGTCAATACTGAATTACTGATGATCACAAATGCTGCAGGTCTAAAAAATATGCCACTTATTCAAAGCTACAGCAGTCTTCAGGCATTAACTCAGAATATTAAGAAGTCTAATCGACAACACGATCTTGTAATTGCTGTAAGTAAAACCCGTAGTGCCTTATTTCGGTTTTGTGGAGTTTCCTGAATTCTAGGAGGGTGTTCTCTTTGCAAAATTAAATACTTTTTTACAATTTTGTGTGGACCTGCTTTGTTGAAATTGATCTTAATATTTTTTTTTACACTGGTGAAGTCATATGTGCTAGGTGAAATACCATCCTTGAAGGACAGAATCAGCATTGTCCGCCAGCTTTGGGGCCTTACTGCAGATATTCTGGTATGTGGTATTTAGTTTATATATCATCCTCTTGTCCCTGTTAAAAATAAATGCTACTTTACAATTTTTTATAGATAATTTACAATATTTAGTGCTGGGCAAATTTAACTATTTGATACGGTGCAGGTCTTAGTTGAACCAGGAACACCACAGGGATCTAATATCATATCTCAAATGAGATCTCATATTTTATGGATGGAAAGAAGGGTAAGCTTATGCCATTTTTTGCACTCTTTTTCCTTTTCGTGATTAAAGGAAAACATGGTGGGAGCTTAGTAGCTTTTAAGTTTGTACACTGCCCTGAACTATCTGTTATTTTAACTGATGCCTGCTTAGAGATGCCGCAAATTAGAGAAGTTATCTGACAGACCTTGTAAGGCCTTGACGGCACTCAAATGTGGCGCATTTATTGTAGCACCTGTAAGTCAGAGTGCCATTATGAGTGCTCGCCTAATTTATACACGAATCTAGTCATATCTGATTGTCCTGTTGGTGTTATATTTCAGTGCCCACATGATGGTGCTTGTCCTTTGAGTAAAACTGGAAAATACTGTCATTTTGTTCAAAGGTTGGAGAGGACTACATCACAGCGTACTGTCAAGGTGTTCCTTAAACCCATGTTTCATACTGTATTCTTTCTGTCTTTGTGATATATTTTTATTATTCACTTTTGCTATAAATTGTAGAAATAACTTGAGAAAGTAAAATGTATTTTATTTCTCTTATTCTATGTAATACAATGAGATGAATACATAATATATATAGCTAGAGAAAAGTGGAATAAGGAAGGAATTCTCCTAATTAAGATTCCCTAATAAAGACAAGATAATTGAGGATATTTAGAGATTCTGAGATCTCTAAGATATCTCCTCATAAATGCTAAATCGGATGAGTAATTATCTGTAGTAATCTACACTCCCCCTCAAGCTGGGTGATGGATATCATCCATGCACAGCTTGCTAGATAAGTTTTCAAACTGAATTCTGGGAAGTGCCTTGGTGAGTATATCCGCTATTTGCTGTCTGGTTGGAACATAGTTCAACTGGATATCCTTTGCTGCAATCTTCTCTGATAAGAACCTTCTGTCTATATCAATGTGTTTGGTCCTGTCATGATAAACAGGATTCTTAGCAATACTGATAGTAGACTGGTTGTCACATGAGATCTGGTTGGAGCTTTCAAATGGGAGTTTGAGCTCATTCATCGATCTTCTTAACCACAATCCTTCGCAGATTCCTTGTGTTAAAGCTCTGAGCTCAGATTCCGCACTACTTCTAGAAACCACTGATTGTTTCTTGCTCCTCGAGGTGACTAAATTACCCCATACATAGGTACAGTAACCAGTAGTTGACCTTCTGTCTAAGAGGCTTCCAGTCCAGTCAGCATCTGTAAACACTTCAATCTTCCTTGTCCCTTGTTTCTGAAACAACAATCCTTTTCCAGGAGTCATTTTTAGGTACCTCAGAATTCTATGCATTGCAGTTAGGTGTTCCTCGGTTGGGTCATTCATGAATTGACTTACCACACTTACTGAGAAAGCAATGTCTGGCCGTGTGTGAGATAGGTAGATTAGCTTCCCTACCAGCCTTTGATATCTACCCTTATCAACTGGTGGACTTTCAGTCTCACTGCCTAACTTCTTTGATATATCCATAGGAGTGTCCATAGACTTGCACCCAAGCATTCCAATTTCACTTAGCAAGTCTAGAACATATTTCTTTGTGAAATGAAAATGCCCTTCTTAGATCTTGCCACTTCCATTCCCAGGAAGTACTTCAACTCGCTTAACTCCTTGATCTCAAATTCTCTTGCTAGATGAGCCTTCAATCTGTCCAATTCAGTCTTATAATCCCCAGTCATAATAATATCATCAACATATACTATAAGAATAGCCAATTTTCCAGAGTCTGCTCTCTTTACAAACAGTGTATGGTCTGCCTGACATTGCATGAACCCTTGGTTAATAACTGATCTTGTGAACCTATCAAACCATGCTCTAGGAGACTGCTTTAGTCCATACAAGGACCTTTTCAGTCTGCAAACCTGACCAGATTTCCCCAAGTCTTCTAATCCAGGTGGTACATCCATGAATACTTCCCCTTCTAGGTCTCCATTAAGAAAGACATTCTTAACATCTAGTTGATGTAATGGCCAGTCTAGGTTCACTGCGAGTGATAACAGCACTCTAATGATGTTCAACTTTGTCACTGGTGCAAATGTCTCTGAATAATCAATGCCATAAGCTTGGGTGAATCCCTTAGCAACCAGCTTTGCCTTCAGCCTTTCAATCTTTCCATCAGCCTGATATTTAACTGTAAATACCCACTTGCACCCAACAGTTCTCTTCCCTGCTGGCAAATCTGTAAGCACCCAAGTTCCATTCTTCTTCAATGCTGCTAATTCATCATGGACAGCCTTCCTCCACCCTGGATGTTCAAGGGCTTCCTTGATGTTGTTAGGAACCTGAATACTATCAATCTTTGAAATAAAAGTTTGATAGTTTGCTGATAGTTTCTTATAACAAACAAAATTATAGATAGGATGCTTGGTACACTCCCTTACTCCCTTTCTGATAGCAATAGGCAAGTCCGGTTCCTCATCATCTCCTTCTATAGCCTCAACCTCTTTGTCATCAGGACTCAAATTTGAGTCAGATGATTGGGTGGTGTTAATTGGAGTGATGTGCTCTTCTTCTGGAACTCTGGTTCTAGGTTTCCGCTTATAGGTATTCTTGTAGAATGGAGAATTTTGATTTAGTGTAGGATTTTGAGGTAATGATTGGGGTGATGAAGTTGGTGGCTGAAATGGTGTGGTTGGTGGAGAGACTATATTGTCTGGAGGGTTTGATTCAGGTCTGTCTGGGAGTATGGATTCAGTGTGGTTAGATTCAGATTCTTGGAGGTCTGGAATAGTGTCTGAAATAGGATTCAAAGACTGGATTTCATTGTGGTTCTCCCCCTGAAATTCAGTTTTAGAATAGAAAGGTTGATTTTCAAAAAAGGTTACATCCATTGTGATGTAGACCTTTTTCGTGGCAAGAGAATAACATTTATATCCTTTCTGATTGGCAGCATATCCTATGAATATACAAGGTAAGGATTTAGGATCCAGTTTTGATCTAACTAGAGAATGGTTGTGAACAAATGCTTTGCAACCAAAGACCTTTGGTGGAAGATTGGTAATAGGGATGTGAGGATGTAGATAAGATAAGATTTGTTATGGTGTTTTAAATTTGTGAGTTTTGGAGGGCATCCTATTTATCAGGTAAGCTGCAGTTAGGATAGCCTCTCCCCAGTAGTGTTTAGGAGTGTGAGTGGTGAACATAAGGGCTCTAGCAACTTCCAGTAAGTGTCTATTCTTCCTTTCTGCCACCCCATTCTGTTGTGGGGTGTCAACACAGGAGCTAATGTGTATAATCCCCTTTTTTGACAGAAACTCTCCTAAATTGGATGAGAAATATTCTTTGGCATTATCAGTTTTAAAAACCTGAATCTTGGTTTGAAATTAAGTTTTGATCATAGAATAGAATTTTTGAAAGATAATATTGACTTCTGACTTATCTTTCATGAGGAAGACCCAGGATAGACGTGTATGATCATCAATAAACAGAACAAACCACCTTGAGCCAGTGAGATTTTTGACCTTAGATGGGCCCCAAACATCACTGTGGATGAGTGAAAAAGGTTTAGATGGTTTCTAAGGTAGACTGGGATAGTGACTTTTAGTATGTTTAGCGAGTTGACAAAATTCACAATCAAAGGCAGAACTTTTATTTATGAATAATGAAGGAAATATTTTTTCTAAGTACAAGACATTAGGATGAACAAGACGATAATGCCATAACTGAATTTGAGTATCAAATTGACTCCTACTAAGACTCCCTAAGAACTTATGGTTGAATTGTCTCTCACTGGAAGTTGTCTTGTTGGTGGAGTTGGGTGAATGTGGTGAATGTTCTAGAAGATAGAGTCCACCACTTTGCTTAGCACTGCCAATCATCCTCCCGAATCCAAATCTTGAAATTCACACAATTGTGAAGAGAATTTAGTTAGGCAATGTGTATCACTATTCAGTTTACTGACTGATAAGAGGTTAAACTTTAAATCTGGAACATATAACACATTGTTAAGCACTATCTTGTCAGAAATTTTGACTCTTCCAGTCCCTTTTATTGCTGAAGTAGTTCCATCAACAATCTTCACAGTTACCTTATTCTTCATAGGGATCAATTCAGCAAAAAACTTACTCTCTCCAGTCATGTGATCTGATGCCCCTGAATCAACAATCCAATAGGGCTGATTGTGTGCAACTAGGGTTGTTAAGGCATTACCTGTCTGAGCAGTAAAGCTAGTTGATGGTGCAGACCCCTTGCTCTGACTTATTAGGTGTTGAAGAACCTCAATCTGCTCATTGGTAAATGCAGCAAGATTAGGAGTGCCCATATCTTCTTTATCTCCAGTAGCTACATAGGCTCCTTTCCCTTTGCTTGGTTTGAAATCTTTAGGTTTACCATGCAAATTCCAGCATGTTTCTTTGGTATGGCCTGGTTTCTTACAGTGATCACACCATGGCCTCCCTTTTTTCTTGTTTTCATTCTATCTGGAAGAGGTATATAAGGCTGACCCTTCAATATTTTGTTGTTGGCCTTGAGATTTCAAACCCATCATTACCTTCCTTCTGCTTTCTTCTCTTTTGACTTCTGAGAAGGCTTCTCTAAGGGTGAGTTTCTTTCCCATTATTCTGCCCCTAACCTCATCTAGACTCTTGTCTAAACCTGACAGGAATTTGAAGACTCTCTTCCTTTCACAGATCTCCTGATATAACTTCTTATCCTTAGAACATGACCAATTGTATGTCTCAAACACATCAAGATGCTGCCAGAGTCTCACAAGGTTGTTGAAGTATTGAGTTACACTCAATTCTCCCTGCTGAAGGTTATGTAGCATTGATTCAACCTCAAATAATTCAGAAGTGTTATCTGAAGTTGAGTATGTTTCTTTCACAGCCTCCCAGATCTCTTGAGCTGTTTTGTATAGTAGGAATTTTTCTCCTATACTGGTTGTCATGGAATTGATGAGCCATGACATCACAGTATAATTCTCCTCTTTCCACTTCTTGTAGTCTGGATCTCCTTGATCTGGAGCATGTGCATCACCTGTCAAATAGTCCTCCTTGTCTTTTCCACACACATACATCATAACGGACTGAGACCATTGTAGATAATTACTACCATTCAGTGGTGACTGTGCTTCCATTGATATTTTGGTTGCTGCCATCTCCAGTTGGGACAACCTCTGAATGTTCAGAGGTGACTGGGATAGATCCATCTCTCTCGGTGGTCATCCCATAGGATCCGAACTTAATCATTTTAGAGAATAATCACGCTCTGATACCATGTAGAAATAACTTGAGAAAGTAAAATGTATTTTATTTCTCTTATTCTATGTAATACAATGAGATGAATACAGAATATATATAGCTAGAGAAAAGTGGAATAAGGAAGGAATCCTCCTAATTAAGATTCCCTAATAAAGACAAGATAATTGGGGATATTTAGAGATTCTGAGATCTCTAAGATATCTCCTCGTAAATGCTAAATCGGATGAGTAATTATCTGTAATAATCTACATAAATATTGCAATTGGGTTTGCCTTGGTAGTAATTTTTGATATATGAAGTAATACGGTGTAATGAATTTGCTTACATGAATTCATGCCAAAAGTTGACTTGATACTAGTAATGAAAATGGTGGGACTTGTGATATGATATTGGAATGTTTCACATGTTTGCTTTCTCTTTTGGTATTGTTTAGGCACTTTTAATCTTTTCATATTTGCTATTTATCTTTACCTTTCATCTCATAAGGGTATGTTTGGGAGTTGAGTTTTTGAGGGGAGAGGATGGTTGATAAAGGTTTATGACTCTCATTTTCATGTTTGGAAGTTAAAAAATATAGAGGGGTGGTTTTGGAGGGCTTTTGTAACCCTCCAAAACCCTTCAAATGCTTAATTTTCAAGTTCCCCCAAATTGAGGGATTTTGAAGGATAACTAATTAAATGACAACTTTAGCTCAATTTTAAATAAATATAAACTCAATTATTTGAATTCGTCATATATGTGAAGTGATTTTACTTATAATTCATTCAAAACTTTTATTTTTCAAACTTGTTACTCCCAAACAAGAAGAAGGGTTTTCAACCCTTTCCCTCTCCTTCCCTTCCAATGATTAACCTTCAAAACCTTCCCCACCTCTTCCCTACAAACTCCCCAACAAACCCTAAGAGAACACTACCTTGTCTTGTTTTTTGTGTATTCTTCTAAACCTCTAACTACTTTTGGTAGCGGTCCAATGGTGCATCTTTGCGTGGATTTGAAGATGAGAAATTTTCTTATATTGTTTTTAGACGTGGACAACGACCGAGGCAAGTACTTTCGCTATTGCATTATACGTAGTATAATATACGAGTAGTATTTGAAATGTAATCAAATTAGAGCCATTGTACTTTGAGCACTAAAACTTCTGCCATTTCTGCATGTCTTGTAATCTACGAAAGATATGTAATTGTGTGATTTAGAAGAGAGAAAAGGGGCAAATAAGCCCTCGAACTAACCGAAAAAGTGCAAATCACCCCTTTTATAGGAGACTCTGTCCGGTCGTTGCCATTTGAGGCGGTTCCCGGTGGAATTTTTTGATGAAATGTTTTGAGATCTTCTTCATCAAATCTACTTTACCCATACCAAATTTCAGCTAAAAATTCAATCGTGAAGGTAGTCAAATAAATGTTTGAAGATAACTGTGTAGTTAAACAGCGTAATATATTTCAGAAAATCATTTGACTGCCTTCCCGGTTGAATTGTTACCTGAAATTTGGTATGGGTAAACTAGACTTAATGAAGAAGATGCTCAAAAAACTTTATCAAAAAATTCCACCAGTAACCGCCCCAAATGACGACGGCCATAGAGAGCCTCCTATAAAAGGAGTGATTTGCACTTTTTCGGTTAGTTCGAGGGCTCATTTGCACTTTTTTCCTTTAAAAGAAATAGTGCGCATATCTTGGCTTCAACCGAAGAACAACCATGTTTTAGTTTTGTATTGAGTTAATTATCAAAATAGAACTAAAAGTCATTCACTTTTCACAAATAGGACCAAAAAATAAACTATGTTTGCATAGGACTAATTATGTGTACCTTGGACAATTATGCCCTTATAGCTATTAAAATGTTTTAATTCCTAATAAAATAATAGAAAATAATAAAAATTCGTAAAAAATACTAAAAAATTAAGAAAAACATTTCGATATTAAAAATTAAATTAATTTTTTTTTCAAAAAATTAAAAAAATTAAAAAAAAATTAAAAAAAAATAAGAACTCAAAAAAAAAAAAAATCGCCGCCGCCTCTGCTGCCTCAGCAGCACCACCTCCAGTCACTAGAGGAAAAAAATGCCAAGTTCATTACGAATGCCATATTTATGGCAGAAAAAAATGAAAATGTTGGCATTCGAAAAGAGAAATATGCCACTTTTTTGGCTTTTCAGAAAAAAATGGCATTTTTCTTGGAAAACGGCATTTTTTTCATCGGCCGGAGGTGGTGGTGCTGGGAGGTAGTACAGGCGGTGGGAAAGGCATCCATATTTTTTTAAATTTTTTTTACGGAGTTTTACTATTTTTTATAATTTTTTTTTAAAATAAAATTATTAAAAAAACAAGTTTTTGAATTTTTTATTTTATAATAATTTTATAATTTTTTTAATTATATTTCTACGAATTTTTAATTTTTTTTCGAATTTATTATGAATTAAACATTTAATTATGGCTTTTGACTATTTTTAATTCATATTTAATGGAAGGGTAAGAATGGAATGCAAAAATAGGTATGTTTCCAATAGGACTCATATGGTCCTATTTTGGAATAAAAACATAGTAAGTCCTATTTTAGGTTTTTGCCATAGTTTTAGTCCTATTTGAACTAATTTCTATTTTGTATTCAATAATGCATAAGAAGCAATGTGAACATATGCTTTAAAAGATGTTCATAATAGGATGTTTAGTTTCTGAACGTTAGAGTATTATATGTTGCTTGCCGAGATGAAATGTTTCTCTCAAACAATTTACCTGTTTAAGTTTGGTTACCGTTCGATTAAATATCATATAATATGCTTATTTTAAGTAGAGATGCTTGGCCACTTGATGGAATGAAGTTTGAAACATTGAAGGAGCAACATGCTAGAAGAAATCCAGAGGATCTAGAGATTGACTATGGTATGTAACTTGAGTATAGAGTATGAACTTATATCATGCAAGTCATTAGCTTCTAAGTGGTATGGAAATGTGAAACAGGAAACACGAAAAACATGTTTTCTAAAAAATATAATATACAAAACATGGGAGAAACACACAAGTAATAAAAACGGAAATTGTCCTAAATAGGACTAATGAGTCCCTAAAGAGCACAAATAGGACTACTACTTTTTAAATTTCCCAAGTGGGACTAAACATTGATTTTCTACCCTAAATACCCCCAAAGGTATTAATTAATAATATTTTTAAAAATTTTTATTTTATAAATATTTTATTAATTTTATAATTTGTTTACGATTTTTTATTATTTTTCACGATTTTTTATTACTTTTTAAAATTTTATTATGGATTAAAGCATTTCAAAAGCTACAAGGGTATAAAATACTATTTGTGCAAAATTTTATAAAATGTAGTCCTATTTGTGCAATTTTGCCACTTTTTAATCCTATTTAGAGAATTGACTCTAAAAACAAAATATAAGAGTATATTTATAATAGAAATTGCCCTAAATAGGATTAAAACATTTTGAAATTCCAAAATAGAATTTCATGTTTTTATTTCCTAAATAGGATTAATTATGTCAACCTTGGAAAAAATGCCATGTTTAAAGTATAGTAATGCCAAACTTGGTAGAAATTTACTCCTATTCAGGAAATAAAAAACATGATAGTCCTATTTTGGAATTTCAAAACTTTTTTACTCCTACTTAGGGATTTCTCTCTCTTTATAAACATTGATCATATATGTACACTTGTTTTTTCATTTATAGATATGTACCTAAATTTTTCATATAAATTGTACGATAATTCAATAACAAATACATATATATGTTTGAATTGAGAAACTATTACATATTAGTACATAATTAAATATCGAATGCAATGCATTTCTAACAATGCATTGCATTTTGACAGTATTTCATATAAAAGATAGGCTAAAGGGTCAAATAGGTACATGAACTAACTTAAAGTATTCAATTAGCCCCTTATTTAGGAGGTTCTGTCCGGCCGTTGCCAATTAGGGCGGTTCCCGATGGAATTTTTTGATGAATTTTTTTGAGCATCTTCTTAATTAAGTCTAGTTTACCCATATCAAGTTTCAGCTAAATATTAAATCGGGAAGGCAGTCAAATGATTTTCCGAAATGTACTGCGCTGTTTAACTGCGCAGTTATCTTCAAAAAATCATTTTACTGCCTTCCCGGTTGAATTTTTAGCTGAAATTTGGTATGGGTAAACTAGACTTAATGAAGAAGATGCTCAAAAAATTTCATCAAAAACTTCCACCAGGAACCGCCCCAATTGGCGACGGCCGAGCAGAATCTTCTATGTAAGGGACTAATTGAACACTTTAAGTTAGTTCATGTACCTATTTGACCCTTTAACCTAAAAGATCTCAAATTCTAAATAAGAATGAAATCTTCCCACGTTTTTTTATATTGAATTATCGTGTATGTTCAAGTTCGGGCTGCTTAGCTTCAGCTCTCTCAGTCCATAGTCCATACTTTTATTATCTCCTTTAGATATCTTCACTATGATTGGTTAATTTTAGTAAAAAGCTCATTTTGTAAAACAAAAAGGAGCGATTGATTTCAAACAAAGTTTTCATTTTGTTGATTCCTAGACGCAGTGATTATTCCCCTATTCTGCTTATTAGAAGAAATTCCATAAGAATTCACTATTATTTTTAAAAAGACACTATTTTCCATCAATCCCATAAAAAGAAAAAAAAAGTTTGCGAAATGCTAATTATTTTGGAAAATGAGTTTCCAAATTCTATTTAATTACGCAAACAGCCGAAAAAGGAATTTGAAATTTTCGAGTTTTCAGATGTTTTTACTCGGACTGTTTTTAGTCCCAGACCATGCTAGACTTAAACAGACCAGACCAGACTTTCATAGTTATAAAATTCGTAGAGACCATACATTTAAAAACATCCTTCTACACGCTTCCGAGTTTCTAAAAGGGAAACGTGAGCAACGGTAAGTTTCCGTGCTTCATTGATTAACATTCATTCATTCGTGGAGAAGCAATATGGTCTCTTCATGTTCTTTTTTGTATTCGACAACTATTTGAATAGTCTCTTCATGTTATTATTATTGTTGTTGCAGAGGACCAATTTCCTTCTGAAAATGAGGATGACCTTAATGAAGAAGAGGATCCTATTTCCTATAATTCTGATGATACAGAATCAGACACCATAACAGCTGATGACGGTGAGTGGGAGGAAGGAGAAGCCACCGCGGGTCTAGGTACTGGTTGGGGAAGAATAATTTATTCTCCGATCCGAAGAGGGAAGCTGGTTGAAATGGACGTTTGTAGGGCAACCAATGCTGAAGGCACACAAGGCTCTTTTGATCGGGTTATAGTTACCAAAAGCAAGAATCCTACTCTGCATCATCAAGCTAGAAGATCCCTTTGGGGAGACCTTTGGCCCTTTTGAAACTCTCTTTCATATATTGTTCTACTCACTCAAACATTACTCTGCAGCCGGTGAAAGAATCCTGTGCCGACAGTTTCATTTGATCAGGCTAGTCAACGTTTTCTATATGGATGACAGATTGACACTGTGCTTAAAACGAGACACCATTTAAAGAAGCCGTGGTTTTTTAATGTGGGGGACATCTATTTATTATATACTCCGTATTGTTTTGTTTTCTCAATGAGTTCTGTAGGGGATGACACAAGAGTTCACTTATGTTGTAGGTAATATATGTTTGGCGTAAATAATTTGATAAAAATGTATACTATGAAAAAACCCCCAAGTGTAATCATTTTTATTTAACTTATAGAACACATTGAACTTTGTTGGATTTAAAATATAAAGTTATAAACCATATAAACTGCAAAATATAAGGTAGAGCTTGGAGAAGAGTTGTAGACTTGTAGGCCTGTCAAATGCAAGTATGATTTTTTTGTGTTGGATTAATAAAACTTCAGTAGTGAATTGGTTAGGAGAATGGCTCATTTGTAATTTAAGTTAAAAATCAAGAAGAGAAAAGTTGTGATTGGATTTTTAGGGGGTGTTTGGATTTGATTCTTAAAATTGCTTCTGCTCCTTCAGGGAGCAGAAGCAGAAGTTGGATTGTTTGGATAAAAGTACAGAAGTGATTCTGGTGCTCTAATTTACTCCTAGAATCAGTTTTTTTAGAAGTTGGGGGAGTGTGGGTGACCAGCTTTTGAAAACTGATTCTGATTCTGCTTCTGCTTTAAAAAAGAAGCAGAATCAGAATTAGTTCCAAACATCCCTTTAGTATATTTATGAAGAAGAGAGTAAAGAAGAAAGAAGAAATAGAAATTTTGATGAAAGAGACTAGATAGACATAGACTTGCGAAGAAAAGAGAGATGGGGATGGTTTTACACTTTTACTTGCACGGTTTTCAATCAGAATCAGACTTAAATAGATTAGATCAAACTTCTATAGTTATAAAATACACAGATACCAGACATTTACTACGTATTAGATTAGACTAGTTCAGACCAGACTAGAATCAAATAGATTAGAGTAAATCAGATCAGCAAATTTCAATCCAAATAAAAATATTACATGTCATTTTGAGTTGGGAGTACCTTGTGAAAGGTGTGCTGATTCTAACGGAATAATTTACATAAAAATGAAATATCGAGAGTTCCAAGTGGATTAAAATGAAATTTCCACTAATATCAAACCATAGCAGCCTCGTGTGTAATGAAACTACAAACTCGCACGGGTAGCTTAGTTGGTTCAGTGGTGGGAAATTTGGAACAATGATCGAGTTTCGAAACCCTCAGCGGTCGTGTGGAGGTTAAAGCTCCTGAGTGCTGGGCTGGACATCTGGTGCACACGGGTAAAAGGCCTATTATCATTGGGCCGATTGAGTCACCGTGACTTACATCTAATAATGTAATAGTCTAGTGACTTCTGTGTAAACGCTCTTAACCCTGTTTTATTATAAAACATGACCACGACACTCAGTAGGGCAAGCCATTATTTTCCAAAAAAAGAAAAGAAAATAATGGCTTGCCCTACTAACATAGACACGACCCGTAGATGGAGAGAGGCATCGGTACCCTTTATTCGCTCGCTACTTGCGGATATGGGCTTCTTTATCTCCGCACCAGTTCGGCTGCACTGTGATAATGTTTCTGCTTCTTACCTAGTTGTGAATCCTATTCAGCATGATCGCAGCAAACACATTAAAATAGATTACCATTTTGTTCGTGAGCGCGTGGCACATGGAGATCTTCAAGTTAAATATATACCTACTCAGTTCCAACTTGCAGATATTTTTACTAAAAATTTATCTAGTCAGCGTTTTGAATTCTTACGTTCCAATCTGCGCGTTGTTTCCCCTGCACAGATTGAGGGGGTGTAATAATGTAATAGTCTAGGAACTTCTGTGTAAACGCTCTTAACCCTGTTTTATTATAAATACATGACCACGACACTCAGTAGGGCAAGCCAATATTTTCTCAAAATTATCTTTTCATATAACAACCTGCCAAAAATTTTGTCGGGTCGGGATGTGGGGGGCTCCTGGGGTTGAAGATTCCAACTTTTTTATCAAATGAATTCAAATCGACTGAGACTACCATTTAATCAAAAGAAGCCAGTTGGGAAACCCTTAGTGATGGGATGTCATCCTTTTTTTAATAAAAAGAAGCCAAACTCACTCCCTCATAAGCACAAACTTTCTGTCCCATGAAGTAACAAACATGACATCAGCTCTCCGAAGCTAACTTTTTGTCCTCAACTGAAAGCCCAGCCTTGCCCAATGGGAGTATAAACCGACAGCTCGGGCCTGAGTTATGAAGTTGAAGGGACCCAAATCTCATGGACCATCGCCGTATCACTCACTGCCAACCAATTGGCTTTCTCTAATGTGAGAAAATATACACTTCAACAAATTTGCAGCTTTTTTTTAAAAATGTACAGCAAGTGAGGATGTTCGTTTGAAAATGGCGTTTAAAGCTAAAAATGAGGCTTTGACCAGCCCTTTCAGCGTTTTTAATAAATGATGTTCGTTTGAAAACGTCATTTAGTAAATAGATTTCGGTCTTGGCGTTTTTGGACAAGTTTTTAAAATAGAAACACCGCAAATATGAGTCTTTGAAAACATATGTTTTCAACTATTTTTATGGCCAAACGGCTATATTATCGAGCATCTTCTCGCAATCCACCTATTTATTCCATTAGTGAAACCCGCTGACTGAGTCCGTCATTGACAACCCGCTATCGACAACTTGTTATCCGCTAATCGCTAAATGCCAAACACCCCCACTATCCTTCGACCTTTTGGTTCTAACATGTTTAATTTTATATTATTCACATGCTCTACTTTGATTATATTTTATTTATAAGAAAACTGTCAATTTAGTCCTTGTTCTATCACGAAAAAGTCAATTAAATTCTCATACTTTAAAAAACTCAATCCAATGCTCAAAATTTGAAAAACTTTTAATTGAGTTCATTAAAAGGTTACCCGCCATGTCAGCAAGTCACCTGCTGACATGACACACATGTGCCAGCCAAGTCATTAGTGACTTTGTTGGCGTGACACACACGTGGAAGCCCCAACCATTCATTTCTCGATACTGCGGTGCACACGTGGGCTGCCATGTGTGCGCCACGTCGGCTACTGACTTGCTGACATGGCGGGTGACCTGCTAATTGACTTAATTGAACGTAATTTTAAATTTCATGGTTTTGATTGATTTTTGTAAGTATGAGGAATTAATTGACGTTTTTTGGATAACAAGAGGATCAAATTGAAAGTTTTCCATTTATTTATTAATTTATGAGAATTACTCTTTTTTATCATGAGAATTACTTTTTTTAAAAAATATTATTCAATTCGTCTAATTATAAATTTTCCAAATCCGATTTTTAAATTTTTTACTAATAGAAAATATGATATATTGATGATCAAGGTGTGCATTGGCAAATGTGCAAAGTTGAGTTTGTAATTAAAAAGAATGAAATAAGTATTAAGATCAAGTACTAGTATAAATTTTTCATCAATGGAACAGTTTGTCATCACTTCAATAATTTCAATACATTTAGAGCTCGATTGAGGACCTTGTTTTTGCCTTATCAGCCAACTTTTTCACCAAACACGTAATTTTTGATTTCGTGTGCTGAATTATGTAATTATAAGAAATAGTGAGGTTGAAATTACTTTTTTGGCTGTATTGGATGAAGTTATGGTAGAGGATCATTTTAGCTGATTTTGTATATCTTTTTAATTTCATTAATAAAATATATTTATAATATAATTTCTTTATAAATTAGTCAATCCACAATTACGTCAGTCAGAAGTTCATGAATTTCGACAGAATCAATTGATATAGCTGATTTGGCTCTTAATCAGGAACTAAGCATACCCAATTTCTATATCATTAGATAAATTTTCATTTCTATATTCATTTGTTTGCATTTATTTAAAATTACAAAATTATTTAACTTTTCAATCCCAACTCTATAAGCAATTCAACTTCATTGTCGATCAAGTGGGAAAAGGCGGACGTCTCTAGGGTTTCGCCTAGTAGTTTCTTCCGGCGGTGATCTTGATCACGGTGTCCGGCGAGTAATTGTCTCACTATGAGTCTAGTGAGTTGGCATTTCAGGGGTTTATCGAATGGTGCTACTATACAGGTTGCGGTTAATATCGTCCAGTCCCACTGGCCGGACATATGTTTCCTTATGGAGACGAAAACTCGGAGCTTGAAAGCGAAGTAAGTGCTACGGAACCTGGGGTTTCTCCAATTCACAGGGGTGGATAGCGAAGGAAGCAGCGGGGGATTAGCGCTTGGCTGGAACTGGAAGGATTATATCGAATTGACAGTATTAGCTACAAACTCGAATCATGTGGACTGTGAAGTTCGATTGGCGGGAAATGCTCCAGTATGGCGGTTGGCCTGCTATTACGTATATCCAGACATGAGGAGACGACGAGAGGCATGGAACATGTTGTGCAGGTTGGCGGAAGACAATGTCTAAAGAATAATTATTTGGGCCTATTCTTATTGGGCTACTAAACTGTACTGGACTGAATATATTTTTAGCCTATTAGCCCTTTAGTATAAATAGGCTTCTTTAACCTACTGTAAAAGACAATTAAACCTTTCTTCTTCTTTGAATAATTCATTCTTCTTCCGCAATTCTTCTTCTCTGCATTTCGTTTCTCTTCTCTGCAATTCGTTTCACTTCAACATGGTATCAGACTAAGGTCAAATCGATCCTGATTTCAACCTCTTCTCTAATCGATTCCTCACAATCGATTTCATCATTCCTAATCGATTTCTATAACCGATCTCTCCCTATTCCTTTTAATCAATCATCTGCAAAACCCTAAATACTATGGCTTCACTGCTAAATCCGACGGAAGACTCATCATCACCGTACTATCTTCATCCTAGCGATCATGCTGGGCTTCGAGTCATCTACGAAACACTCACAGGCGACAACTTTGGTGCATGGAAGAAATCTGTTTCCATGGCTATGGCGGTGAAGAACAAGATGGGATTTCTCGACGGATCCATCACAAAACCAAGTCCAGATACTCCTATGTACATCAACTGGTATCGTATCAACGCTCTCCTCTTATCTTGGCTGATATATTCTATTTCACCTGCTCTTCGCACTACTTTCTTATCTTTTACTGATGCTAAAGAGCTTTGGGATGAGGTTCAGCTTAGATATGGAAAAATCGATGGTCCTAGACTTTTTCATCTTGAAAAAACCCTAGGAAATCTTTGTCAATGTTCTCGTAGTATAACTGATTACTACAACTGTTTCAAAGAAATTTGGGATGAATACTGTAATTTCAGAAATATTCCTTCTTGTACTTGTGGTCAATGCACTTGC